AGTGGCCATTCCTGGTGACACTGGGGACTCCAGCCGAGGGTGAGGTGTGGGGACATGGCTGTGTGTGACAGTGGCCATTCCTGGTGACACTGGGGGGTTCAGCCCTTCCTGGGGACACTGGGGACTCCAGCCGAGGGTGAGGTGTGGGGACACTGTGTGTGACAATGGTCATTTCTGGTGACACTGGGGGGTTCAGCCCTTCCTGGTGACACTGGGGACTCCAGCCGAGGGTGAGGTGTGGGGACACGGCTGTGTGTGACAATGGCCATTCCTGGTGACACTGGGGACTTCAGCCCTTCCTGGTGACACTGGGGACTCCAGCCCTTCCTGGGGACACTGGGGACTCCAGCCCTTCCTGGGGACACTGGGGGGTTCAGCCCTTCCTGGTGACACTGGGGACTCCAGCCGAGGGTGAGGTGTGGGGACATGGCTGTGTGTGACAGTGGCCCTTCCTGGTGACACTGGGGACTCCAGCCCTTCCTGGTGACACTGGGGACTCCAGCCATTCCTGGTGACACTGGGGACTCCAGCCGAGGGTGAGGTGTGGGGACATGGCTGTGTGTGACAATGGCCATTCCTGGTGACACTGGGGACTCCAGCCGAGGGTGAGGTGTGGGGACACGGCTGTAAGTGATAATGGCCATTCCTGGTGACACTGTGGGGTTCAGCCCTTCCTGGGGACACTGGGGACTTCAGCTGGGAGGGAGGAGCCACCTCTGCCTCCTGTCCTTGAGCTGGCAGTGCTGATGGAGCAGCACAGGAAAGGAGCATGTGAAAGCAGAGTGGTTTTTCAGGGTGCTGGGTGTCACCAGCTCTGGTTCAGGAGTGTCAGACTCTGCTGGAACAGGATCCAGGGGCCCGGTGATGACCAAGTAACGCGCTAAGAGGGGCAGGGTGCTGAGTGTGGAAATGGATTGGTGACATTGCTGCACTTGAGCATCCACTGGACCCTGTGAACAGGAAAATGAGATCTGAGGGCCTCCTGCAATCCTGGGGAGCACCAAGGTGCTGCTGAGAGCTGTCAGGGGAGTTTATTCTGGAGCAGCATCCATGGGTTGCTCCTCTCCGTTCAGGCTGTTCCACTGTGCTGCTGTTCCCATCCTTAGCACAGGGACAGTGTCCAGAACTAAGGATTCAGCTGGTTTCACTTGTCTAACTTGGCTCAGGCTCGATCCCAGGTGTAGCTGAGGTGACTCAAAGCGTGACAGAGGATGGAGAAGATTCCCTGCAAAATGGTTTAGTAAAAGTTAGGGATAAAGAAGGGAGCACTGAGCTTGTGTGGCCCTGTCAAAGGTTTCTGGTAAGTCAGCAGAAGTGAGGAGAGAGTGCTGGGTTTGTGCTTTGCCTGACAGAAACTCATTTGTCTCTTCATAACAAAGTGAAGCAATCGAGGCAGTGTAAGCAATTTTCATCCCTTGTTTTTAGCAACTTTGCTTAAATATTTTAAATTTCAGATGAAAAGACAGGTTTTTAGATTCTCTGCCACTTTGGGAATCAATTTCAGTATCCTTTATTTACTTTTATTTACATATCCCTGAGAGTTTAGTGCAAACCAGGTCTTCCTGAAATTGGAGAGGTAGAAAGTTCAATCCACCACAAAGTCTAAGAAATACAGACTAAKGTTAGATACTCTCAGGTACAGCTTTCTTGAGAATTTGTTTTAATATTTGTAGCCAAAATTTTTCAAATGGGAAATATGCTGAAGCTGACAGTTTTCCTGCTGCTGCTTTGTTCCTTTGCCAGGTAACATAGAGATCTCAGAGGAGAGCTGCAAGCAGTATGAAGTGATGTATTCCCCATCCTGTGAAGCCACAAGGAATGGCACAGGAGTTGATGAGGCATCAGCAAATGGGATTGTCCTGGCAACCGAAGATCTGGGATATCAAATCTATGAAGTGTCTGGTGAGTGCTGAAGTTCAAACGCTGCTGTCAGTGTTTGGAACCCTCTGGAGTTGCTTTAGGTGTGGTGTGACCATGCAGGAAGCTCCAGGTGTGGCCAAACATCTGGAAAGTGGGATCAGAGTCATTCTGAGAGTGTTGTCTGGGGGTCTTTAAACATCTGGGATGAGCTTTAATCTCTTGGTSCTACCCAGAGGGATTCATCCTTGYATTCTGCAATGAGCTGTGTCCTTGYCTYGTTCCATGAAAGCAGGAGTTGATGGTGGATGTGGTCCCTTTCAGGTGATGGCAGCTCCACTGTGTCCACAGAAGACATCAGAGAATGTTTGAGGAAACAACTTGAATTCTGCTTCTCACGGTAGGTGCAGTTAACTCAGCTTGGTGTAAACCCTTCATTAAAATCCTTGGCAAATATCCCCTTCTCAGTTTGGTATGTACCATCATCTTGACACAAACACAAAACAACATTTACTGGATGTTCTGGACAAGCCCTGTGGCACCTTCCAGCTGTTTCTGTCCTGTCCATGCATCCCTGTCCTTGGATGAGGATGACTCCTGTTAAAACAATGTTAAAATAATTCACTGTGTGTCACCAGAATCTCTTTGGCAGAACCTTTTTGCAGACCAACGTGTAGAGCACTGGAATTTGTTTAAGGTTTAAAAATTATCTTACTTTGCTTTGTGTTGATTTACTGAGATTTGTTCAGGAGAGAAAATTTGAGGGTGTTCTTGTTCTGAATTGTACTGGCCAGTATTTAAGCCTGTAGTTATCCTCTTGTTTTGAATTTTCTCTAAGTCAGTTCAGGATCTTTGTTAATTAACAATTTTATGTCTTTTCAGTGAGAATCTTTCAAAGGATCTCTACTTGATGTCTCAGATGGACAGTGATCAGTTTGTTCCAATATGGACAATTGCCAACATGGAAGGGATTAAGAAGCTGACAACAGATATGGACCTTATTCTTGAAGTTTTGAGATGTAAGTCTGGGCCTTTAATCAGTAGCACAAAGAATTCTTCCATGAGATGTTTTAATCTCTGAGCTGGTTATGGTTTGTGCTGGTGAATGGTGACAGGAACTTTACTGAGTAAGAGGCTGTTCCAGGCTCCTGAATTCTCATCCTTTGTTCCAAATTCCATGAGAGAATCTGGTGCTGCTGAGATGTGCACAAARTCCAACTTTTATCCTTTAATTTCAGCTTCTCCTATGGTACAAGTGGATGAAAGGGGAGAGAAAGTCAGACCAAACCACAAACGATGTATTATCATTCTCCGTGAGATCCCTGAGACAACACCTATAGAGGTAAAGGAAAGAAATAACTCTGTTGCTTGTTTTGAAAGATGGGTCTTCAAACAGCACCAGGAAAAAAAAAGTCAGGTGGTGTTTAATTAGATTAAACACGGATATTTTTCTTCTAAACCACATCAGTAACTTTTTCCACCTGAGTGTGTTATCAAAATAACCAAAACAAAAWCTTACTGCCATTGTCCCCATTATTCACTACTATATTTAACTTTTTTCCCCACTAAAGCTGAGCTAGCTCAGCTTTTCTGGAAGGAAGTTTGAACTGGTTTCTTTTCATATCCAAAAATAAAYCAGTCCAGGGCATAGCTTGGAATTCAGGCTGAATTTTTGTCACAGCAATAACTTTACTTGAAGTCAGACGGTTGTTTTGGCAGCAAGAAATGTTACTAAACATTTCTCATTCATTGTGCCCCAGTGTGAGCTGAGCTCATTATGTCCAAGAAGGGAGGATAATAAAATTCCTCCTGATACTTGGCAAACAGAATGATTTAGTTCTTTGTTTTTTGAGGTTGTAACACAGGGTATTTGTCTACCAGCATTTTTTTTAATGAGTTCTTTTAATGCAAAYGCTGAGCAGCTGCTTGTCCCTCTCCTTCCAATCTGATTATTGCAAAGCTGTCAGCTTGCCTTGACTTAGAAATATTTCATGGAATCATTATTGTCTCCATGATTCTGCTGATCTAAAGCCACACTTTCCCTACCTGTTTCATATGGAAATATCACCATTGATAATTGATTTTCCTGAGGCTGCTGTGTTTTATCTGGGGAGCTCAGGAGGCTGGAGTGGGATTTGTGGGTTAAACAGGCAGAGGGGAATAAAAGAACATCCCTGGGCATGGCAGAGTGGCAGCTGAGGAGCTGGAGCATGAACTTGGGTCACTTCAGCATTCACTGCACTGAATTCACTGAATTCCTTGTGTCCCCAGGAGGTGAAGGCTCTGTTCAAGAACGAGAACTGCCCCAAGGTGATAAGCTGTGAGTTTGCTCACAACAACAACTGGTACGTTACATTCCAGTCCGACACAGACGCCCAACAGGTAAGGCTGCTCTCTGACACCCAGCTTCAATTCTTCCTCTGCTCGAGGAAAAGTGCACATGTGCTTCCTGTAGCTAAAAGAAATATTTATTTACTGAACCCCTTTTTGTTGTTTTGGGAGATTACCAGCAAATTCTGGTTAATAAGACTAAAGTTGAGAGATTGTGGGGTTATAATTCCCTTGCCTGCCTCTTGCCTCAGCACTCTCCCATCATGACTGGCACTAGAATCCTGAATTTGAAGTGTTAAGAATTTAGCTGGGCTGATAGGGAAGCACATTGCTGCACATTTGTGTTAAATCTGGAACATCCTTTGGGGAGTACAACTTTATCAAGATATTCTAATGTTGATCTTTTTTTTGTATCTGCAGGCRTTCAAATACTTAAGGGAAGAAGTGAAAACCTTTCAGGGCAAGCCAGTAATGGTGAGGCTGCTTTGGCTGATGTTTCTGTTGGAATTATGTTGTTTGTGTTTGGATGATGGTGATTATTTGTGGGGGGTGGAACCAAGGACTCAGCAGGAGGATTGTCCATAACTCTGGCTCTGAAGGCTGGAAATGTGAACGAGGTCATGGGGAGCTCTGACAAATGACAATTCAGCTGTTACTCACAGCACTGCTCCCAGGGGGGGTGAAACACATTCCTGTGCTGACTTCCCCTCTCCACTTGCCCCAGAATCTGGGTTTGCAGAGCTCAGGAGAGGGATTCCTAACACTGTGATCTGGAGTTTGCTGCTGCACACAGCAGGCTGGAGCAAAGTGTGCTGTGAGAGGAGCTGTCATGATTGGAGTCTGGACAGTTCCTGCTGTAGAAAACAGGATTTATCTTCAGTTTTACAGATCCCCCAGCTACAGCAATGTGTCTCCTTCCCCTTATCATGCTGCAGGATTGTGATCTGGACTGATTTTATCCATTTTCATTCATAAGCAGTAATCCATCTTCACATCCCTCCAGCTGACAAGACAGATTCCATGTTCTCCTTTCCTCCAGCTGATGCATGCTGTTGATTTGCTGTCTTGCAGGCCAGGATAAAAGCCATCAACACGTTTTTTGCTAAGAATGGATACCGGGTGGTGGATTCCAGYGTGTATCCCCAGCCTGTGCAGACCCAAGCCCAGTTTGCCTCCCCGCTGTTTATGCAGCCTGTATATAGCCCTCAGCAGTACTCCATTTACAGCATCGTGCCTCAGACKTGGTCTCCAAATCCTGCACCTTACTTTGAGACACCACTGGTGAGTGATGGGGCAGCAGGAGCCCAGATAGGAGCCTGTCAGGGATTATTTGATTAATTATCACTGGGCTGGGTGGGTGTTCCAGGTTTCTTGGTCTGTTTTATGCCATGTCATGGACCTGATGAAGCAACACTGTCAGAGGAGCTGCCAGTCTCACTGTTGGAGCAGCTTATTTCAAGGAATTTGGTGTGAAATTCCATTATCCAGCAGCCTGTATTGCTGGAAGACCCCAGGAATGGGGGAATTCTGCTGAAGCAAATGCAGATTAACCTGGGGGGGTTTGGCTGGAATAGTGAGGTCACACCACAGTAGATACCCAGTGTGAAATCACAGCCATGAGTAACTGCTGAAACTCAACACTGATCTGCAAACGTTTTTCTTTGTAGCTCAGCCCCACTGAGATTGTTCTGTCTGTTGCAGGCCCCCTTTCCCAACGGTGGATTTGTGAATGGCTTTAATACACCAGGATCATATAAAACAAATGCTGCTTCTCTGAGTATAGGTCGCCCATTCCATAGGAATCGGTAAGATAGTTCTGTCAGGTGTTTGCTCCTGGAAAACTTACACTGCTGAGATCTGAAATGTGCCTTGCATGCCATATGCAGTGCTTTCTGATGGGACCACATTATTTATTTTATCAAATGGGTGATGTTTTTCAACTTAATTAAAAAAAATTAAATAGAAGGTGGCAGCTTAAGRTCCTAAAATAATGGAGGCAGTGCTGGAGAGAGCCGAGGTAACTCCTTTAGGAGCCTCAGAGGAATTTTTGCAGACAAATAACTTCCTCCTACGGTCATACTTGTAATTATGTTTGTTATAGGCAGATTATAAACTCCTGCAGCACAACATAAGCCCTTCCTGCTGGGCTCAGGCTTGTGGAGCCTCTGGTTCCTGCTGTGGGAGTTGCTTGTCCCGACTGCTGCGTCCAACTGCTCAATGCTGGGGCTGTTCCTGTAATTTATTTGCTTTATCCCCATCTTTCCTGAGAGCTGTGAGGACTTGGATATAAACACTGGGAGAGGAAACGCTTTGTGTTGCTGGAGCAGTTGTGTGAATACAATGGAGTAGTAACCTGTGAGTGGGGGTGGGAGTTGTTTGTGTGCAGCACAGGGCTGGGACCATGGGAATTGCTGTGGGAATTGTTGGAGAAATCAGCTGACAACTGCCAGGGCAGTGAGTGGGATTGTGGTGCAGCTCAGGTCTGTGGCTCTTGGCAGAAGGGGAACTTGAGGGTTTGCTCTGTGGTGACTCAGCAGAGTCTCAGCACTGACAGTGGAACTGGGAGCGTGACTCTGCCTGGAACATGGAGCAGCTGCTGCAGCTGCTCAGCTCCAAACTCACATCTTGACAAAGGTGATTTGGATTTTTTCTGCTTTAAATTGTCCACAATCATAAAGTCTGTGAAGCTCTTGTGCATTTGGATCCCCTTGGAAGTAGAGGTGCTGTGCAAGAGCTGTGTATATCCAAGTACTAACACCTTGAAATGCCTCCTTGTGCATCACATCTGCATAGCCCTGAGCTTTTGAAATCCTGCTTGTGGGAAGAGTTCCATGTGTAGAATTGGGTGGTTGAAGCTGCAGCTTTAGGTCAGTGTGTGCAGTGCTGCTGGCCCAGTGATGATCCAGTATCGCGCTAAGAGAGAACAGGTCACAGTTGGCGCCTGGGCAGCCTCTGCTCCCTGCTCCTCCTTCCTCCTGCTCTTCCTTCCTGCTGCTCTCACATCATTTCTCCTCCTCTCTGCTCTTCTTTTTCCCTCCTTTGTCTTTCCTTGTCTTTTCTGCTTTGCTCTTCTGCCCAGACAAGACTGTGGCCTTCTCGATGACGGGTAAGATTATGAGATCTGAGGGCTGAGCAGTGACAAGAGACTCTCCCATTTTGAGAACAACTCGGACAAAATGGAAGAATTCAGTTGACTTTGCTCCACCTGTTCCCTGTGATTTTGCTGATGRGAAACTTAAGCTTTATTGGGCCCTTAAAACTGGTTCTTGATGCTTCTTGAAGCTGGGAAGTGGCGATTAATCTCTGTTCAGCAAATCTCCTCTTGAACAGCTTCATCCAGCTGCTGTTTTTGGCCCACTAAACCTGATTTGTTTCGTACAATAAATAGTTAAGKGTTGGAGTTTTCTCTGTAGCTAAACATTTGTTTAAGCCACTCATATTTATTTTGCACTGGTTTGTTGCAACATCCTTGTGGGAAAGGGAGATGGAGGAATTGTACTTTGGCTTGCACTGGGAGAGTTTCTTCTGCTTTCACAGAGTGCTACAATGAGATTGTTTAAAAGCAGCGAGTGTGCAAAATCTTCCTGCTATCCTTAAATTATCAGATGTGCAGAGTTGACCAGAGGAGAGAAAATTTGGGGTTCTTGCCTTCGGTTGGTGCTGCATGGAAAAGGCAGTGAGGGGCAGACCCCTGGGGTTTGGGATTTTTTTAGTTGGTTGCAGTTTTGGGAATTTTTTTTCCCCTCTTGGGTACCATTTGGGCAGCGATCTCAATGTTTTCTGCATTTGCCAACACTTGAGGTTACAAGAAAGCCATACCAAAAGGAGGTTGGGAAGACAAATGTCTTTGTTCCTGACAGYTGTAGGTAGGACACGAGTTCTGGTASYTGCTGACCTGCTGKTTTTGGTGTCAGCTGCAGCAGGGGRTGGTTCTGCTGTGGTTCCTCAGCACGGGGGTCTCACTGTGCCTCTCTCTCTGTGTCCCCAGGGTGAAGCCCCATTTCCGTTCCTCCAGCAGCTCAGAGCACCCAGAGGGGCCGCCCGGGGCCGGGGCACTGCCCATGGGTGACCTGAGCAGAACCAGCTCCAGGAATTTCCTCATGGAGAGGCACAGCAGCTCTTTACCCGGGCACCCMGAGCAGGGCTATTCCCAGAAGGATTCGGCCCCGCTGGAGCAGAACGGCGATTTCGGCGTGGGCAGGGGCAGGTAAAGGGCTCTGATGTGTTTGTGTCACACACAGCAACTGGGACCTGGCTCCTGTGAGCCAAAGGTGTCAGCCATCGACACAAAATGTATTTCTGTAAAAACCAACCATGAAAAAACTGACTGGTTAGTAAAAAACACTGAGCTGGGAGCAGGAATGGTTCTGGCTTCACTCTCCAGCTGATGGTTCCTCTGACAAATAGCTGGCAGTAAGATAGTGAGGTGTCTTTATTTTAAAAGAACTGATTTGGCCCCAGAATGAAAGCACTTGCTGAAGTAAAGTTTGCATCTGCATTGCAGTAAATAATAAATGAGTCCTTGGTTGGGAATGATGCTYCTCARTGTTTTAAGATKAAYTGGTTTTATCTCTTTTTCTGKTAATTTGGGGTTTAAACATTTGAAAAGGCAGATCACTGAGAAATCAGAGTGATAAGTTTATTACTATAAAATAACTGTCCTTWTGATTAGCCAGATGCTCATCGAGGGGCTAAGAAAGAGAAATTGTTCCCATATTGGCTCTGTTCCAAGAGTGYTGGAACTTGRRCCCCTCCTGAGGARGGAGAACATCCCAGAGCTGTGTCTGGATCCCCTGGTGCAGAGCAGTGCCTGTTTCAGCTGAGGGAATGCACTGACTGCTSTTCTTGTCTTTAAAGGAGGAACGTGTTCCGGGGTCGGAGGAGACGGGAGGACGACCGGGTTTCAGTAAGTTCTGCTTCCCTTTTTGCAGGGAGTCACTCAGAAGTGCAGAGTGTTGGCTTTGCAGTTATTGGAGGAATGGCAGAGTCCTTAAATGCTCAGATTTCATTGGGGCTTTACAGTTTTTCTGGGACTCTTTCTCAGGGCTTTTACTGCTCCATGTTACAACTTTATTAACRAGTGTTTTCCCTCTCCAGAGACCTCAGCCTTCAGCAGAAACAAAGACTCAGACACCAAAGTTTGACTTGCTTGCATCCAACTTCCCACCTTTGCCTGGCAGCACAGCGAAAATTCTGGGAGAGCCTGTGCTGGAGAGCAGGATGTCTGACATYGTCAAAGGAGTCTGCAAAGAGAAGGTGCCTCTCTTGTCTCTGTCACACACACGGGACTGTCTGGGTGCTGGGATTCCCTTTTCCCTGCTGAAGAGTCAGTTTGGTAMAGCCAATACTCCAGGGCTTTAATCCCAGCCTTCATCCTGCTTTGTTCACAGAGCAGTGCATTTTCCCTGGCTTTTTGTGGGAATGCAGCCAGGGCTCCTGCAGTTACGGTGGTGTAGACTCWATAATGTTGAGGGAAGAAGCAGAGRAAGGAGRAGTGTTGGCTGTTGGAACAGTTTGGTGGAGTGTGGGCACAAGGGATCTTTCCCAGTAAATCTGTGTTCTGAGCTGGTGGGACTAAGATCTGATTTTGAGGTGATCCAGCCTTAGTTCTGGTTTTACCCTCTGCTTGTTTTGCCCATATAAAGGGGTGTTGCTTTAGAGGTGATGGTCCAAAAGAAGTCAAATTCCTATAACCAGGATTTGAGCAGCCTTTGGAAATACCTCACTTCTCAGATATCTTACAGTGTTATATTGGGGAGCAATTTGAACATCTTTGTGTATTTTGTACCTTGTGCTCTGTGTGCAGGAAAGCAAAGAGTCCCTGTCACCCTGCCCGGCTCCTGCTGTGGATGAACAAACACCCAGCACTGCCCAACCGCCCGTGCCCAGCGTCAGCTCCCCGAGCCAGACTGAGCCTGTGCTGCTGAGGTACCAGAGGGCATTACCATGGATTGGGGAGTGTCCTGAGCTGGGAGGGGATCAGGGATCACCCAGTGCTGCTCCTGGCCCTGCACTGACACCCCAAAATCCCACCCTGTGCATCCCTGAGAGCGCTGTCCAAACCCTCCTGGAGCTCTGGCAGCCTCGGGGCTGTGCCCGTTCCCTGGGGAGCCTGGGCAGTGCCCAGGACCCTCTGTGGGAAGAGCCTTTCCCTGAGATCCAACCTCACCCTCCCCTGGCCCAGCTGCAGCCGTTCCCTCCAGTCCTGTCCCTGTCCCTGTTGTCCCTGTCCCAGGGAGCAGAGATCAGAGCTGCCCCTCGGGGTGAAGCTGCAGCCCCCAAGGAGTCTCCCCTCAGTCTCTTCTCCAGCTGAACCCACCCAGTGCCTTCAGCTGCTCTTCCAGACCCTTCCCCATCCCTTGGCCCTGCTTTGGACCCTCTCCAACAGCTTCAGATCCTTTTTTATATTGTGGTGCCCAAACTGCCCCCAGGACTGGAGGTGAGGCCACCCCAGTGCAGAGCAGAGTGGGACAATCCCCTCCTTCACCTGTCCAGTAGTGCTGGACCTGATCCCCCAGACCCTTTGKGCTGCCAAGGCACTGCTGACTCATTTGCATGTTCTAGTAAAGGCTCTCACCAGAGTCTGGCAATAATATTGGGTGGCATCTTCTCCAGAGGCCAGCAGATGGAAAGAACAAATCGTGGTGGGAATGGCTGTGCCGTTCTGTTCTGTACTTGTGGCTTCAAAGAAAGGAAATATTCTCTGAAACACGAGTGCCAGTGGTTTTAATGTTGAGCTGTTGTTGGTTTCTCAGCGTGGTGCAGCCTGAGAGCAAACCAGAGGAAGTGTCTGCTCCAAAGGACGTGGCCAGCCCGGCGTCCCCGCCGGCGTCCGTCTGTCCTGTCAGTGCTGCAAAGCCCCCGAGGACAAACCCCTCCTCACCTTCTGCTCCAGGCACTGCAGCTCCTGCTCTGTCAGCACAGGTAAGAGAGGGATGGGAATGGCACGGGGCTTTCTCTGGGATGATGGTGCTGCTGGACCTACAGCAGGGACTGGGAATGACACAGGGAGCTTTCTCTGGGATGATGGTGCCCTGGGCCCAGAGCAGGGACTGGGAATGACACAGGGCTTTCTCTGGGATGATGGTGCCCTGGGTCTAGAGCAGGGATGGGAATGACACAGGGAGCTTTCTCTGGGGTGATGGTGCTCTGTGTCTAGAGCAGGGACTGGGAATGACATGGGATTTTCTCTGGATGTGCTGATGGTGCCCTGGGTCTAGAGCAGGGACTGGGAATGACACGGGGCTTTCTCTGGGGTGATGGTGCCCTGGGCCCAGAGCAAGGAATGGGAATGACACGGAGCTTTCTCTGGGTGATGGTGCCCTGGACCTACAGCAGGGAATGGGAATGACACAGGGAGCTTTCTCCAGGATGTGCTGGTGGTGCCCCTGGACCTACAGCAGGGACTGGGAATGACACAGGGAGCTTTCTTCAGGATGATGGTGCCCCTTAACTTACAGTAGGGAATGGGAATGACAGATTTGCGTTTCTCTGGGATGTGCTGATGGTGCCCCTGGGCCGTTCCCTTCACTCTGTACATGTTGTTGCTGTTGTGCTTTGCCTCTGTGCCTGGGATGGGCTGGGAGGTGCTTGTTCTGTGCAAACCCCGCTCTTCTCCTTGCTCCCAAAGGAGCCTCGCAAGCTCAGCTACGCCGAGGTTTGCCAGAAGCCCCCGAAGGAGCCGCCTCCGGTCCCGGTGCAGCCTCTGAGGGAGCACCGCACCAACATCGTTCCCCCTGCCAAGAACGACGAGAGCGGCACCGCCGAGAAAGCTCCAGAGAAAGCTCCTCACGAGAGGCCCGAGGCTCGAATGAAGGATTTCTGTGGGTTCCGTGGCAATGGAGCTCCCAGGGGAGCTGCTGGCAAAATCAGGGAACAGAGGCGCCAGTTTGGACGCAGATCTTCGCCTCAGGGAGCGCCRCGCCGCCTCGGCAAGGAGCAGTACGTGCCACCCCGCTCACCAAAGTAACGCTGGGCCAGCCAATGATGCTTTATTTCACTTGAGCTGTGGACTAAAGAGCAGCAGAGACACTGAGGAAGGAAGGATTCGGGAAGGGGAATACTGAACTGGAGCGTGGCTTGTGTGGAGAAGTTGTGGAGGGTCCCAAAATTCATCTCTAAAAGTGATTTCACAAATGCTGGAGGATTCCAATCACTATAAATATAGAGATTATAATTTTTGTATTTTTTGGTTTTTTAATTTGCAGAGGGTTTCCTGCTTGAAATCAGTTTTGGGGTTGTGAAAGTAGCGTTTTGACAAAGTGAAAGAATATGAGTTGACAAATTAACCTGTCCCTCGGTGTAGGAGGAAAAGGATAAGAGAATATTATTTTTGGAAAATGAGCATTTCTGTAAAATTAGAACTTTTTTTAACCTATTTAAGGTTTGGCTTGTGGGCTGGTGTGTCTGCCATGGATGGCCTGGCGTTGCAGAGGCCTCTGCAGCAGCGTGAGCGGAGCGAGTGCAGCCACAACTGTGTCATCACTTAGTACTGATGATGAAAACTGAATGTACTACTGTAGTAAACCATGTGTTTCCAGCTTGAAGTAGAGTCTCTTGACCTTACTAATATTGCATTCAGCAAGCTTTTTAAGGTATCATTTTTGCAGGATACTGGATTGTAGATGAGAGCGTGTGGACAGCAGAAATTGTCTTGTAGGCACAGTGGAAGGAGGCAAAGGGAGCTTTTCAGAATCTTAAAAATGCCCTTTTTCCTCGCCTCCTTTTGAGGGCAACTCCTTAGGTTTGGGGTTTTGTTTGTTTGCTTTTTTTCCTCTCTTGTTACTTTCTCTAATTTCTTTATTACAGACTTTAGTGCATTTTTCTTGCTGTGTTTTCCCGAGGCAGCCCCAGGGTAGGGTGGGCAGGTGGCTGCACAGCACCTGGTGTTACCTGCACAGGTAAAGAGTTGGAATTCCTGATGTTACCTGCACAGGTAAAGAGTTGGAATTCCAGCCAGAGACAGGAATTTTGCCTTGCAGGGGGAACTCTGGGCACTCACCATCACCTCTGGACGATTGGCAGCAAAGCAGAGCTGTGGCTGGGTTTTCTCTGTGCTGACTCTGTGCTGCTCTATTGCCAGAAATCAGGGTTTGTGCTCCTGGGAACTCGTTGTTTACAGCTGATGTCATAGCAACTGACTCCTTTTGAACTGTTTAAAGTGGAACTAAAAGTGCAGAGTTAAAGAAATCCCCTCGTGTTCAGAGAAGCTGCTGGAGAGGTGGCATCTTGCCAGCTGTGTGCTGACTGAATTTGCAACACTATTGTGCAGTAAGTGGTTAAGTTTCAGGGTGATTAATGACAGAAATAGGAACATTSAGCGCATTAATCTGCCAAAATCAGCATGCCAGGGTTCAAAGTTCTGTATAAAGCGTTAGGGAAAAGTAGCTTCCAGCAGTAAGAATCACATCTTTATTTTTTCCTCTTTTTTTTTTTAGTGAATAGCAAGTGTACAAATTTAAAGTCGTAAGTTGTGAACACTGGAAAACTCAATTGTGATATATTCCGTAACCATCTTAGTAATATATRCTCGTGTTGCCATAGAATGAATGTAAGTGGCAGTTAAAATAACTGTGAAATTTTTCATTTTCTGATTTCTTAGCCAGATAACCCTTGGCGACTTGGGCCTCAGTAGGAATTCTCTATCAACKGCTTGGAAAACACTCATATCTATTTTTATAAATATATATATAAAGCCAGAGTTGTCATTTCTCTAACTTATTATTCAGCTTGGCAATTGCTTTGAGTTCATTCATAACACAATATAATGTATTKATGCAGTTAACTGTTCATTTCTACGCATGTTCTAGAGAAAAAAAGTCAGAGAATCATAGACTAGGCTGAGTTGGAAGGGACCCATCAGGATYRTGGAGTCCARGTCCTGGCCCTGCACGGGACATCCCAACAATCCCAGTTTGCCTGAGAGCATTTTCTAAATGCAGTTTGAACTCAGCCAGGCTTGGAGCTGTGAGCCCTTCCTTCCCTGGGRATGTTCAGTGCCCCAGCACCCTCTGRGGGAAGGATTTTTCCTGATTTYCTGATCCCAAATCTCCCCTGACTCAGCTTCCTGCCACTTCCTCGGGTCCTGAACTACACCTACATATATATATTTATCTATCTATTCATAGATATATATATATATATTTAACCCCTAAAATCACTATTCTCTTTTAAGCTACCTGTACTGGGTTTGGGAGGTTTTTTTTTTGATTTAGTAAAAAAAATCGTTGATCACATCCACAGTTTAGGGATTCTTACAGACCCTTCTCCATTTATTTGAGAATGCTCCTCTTGTTGGAACGATAGGCAAGTATTGAGTGTCAAAGTCCTGAAATGCAATGAATGCAAAGTTTCATTTGTTTTAAAGGCTCTAAACAATTCCTGCAGCCAAACTGGAACCAAAGGAGCCTGTAGGATGGTCAGGGGTGTTTAGGGGAGATTGCTCTGTCTTGGGGGGTTGAGGAAGTGTTGGGATTCTGAGGAGGAATTGTGGGGCTGCTGCAGATGTTGGTGACAATTCCCTGATTGTGGCAGTGACTGGGCTGTGCTGGGAGGAATTTTSACTGCTGAAATGGAATTTTGTCATTGATCAGATGAGGGAAAACCCAACCAACTGTGGCTCCATCTTCCTGCAGGGAGATGCCAAAGGGATGCTCTGGGAGTGTTTTGTGCCTCTTGTGCAGTTGAACACAGGTCAGGCTCTAAGTGTTTGCTTTTCCCAGCACATCCAAATTTCTCACTTTAGGGCACTTGGAATGATTTATTTCACACCTGTGTGCAGAGATTTCACCTGAGCGTTTCCCTTTTCCCTTCCACCATTTCAAACTCTGTTTTGGGATGTGGCTTTTTTTTTTTTTTTCTTCCTATTCTTTTCCGTGCAGGGGGAAATTCCCAAGTGGATACAGAGATTGTGAAGCTGTATTGGGGTGGGAATTCTGCTCCAAACTGGGACTGGCACTGGGAGGGTCTCATGTCCCTTCCCACCAGTTTGAGTGTTGGGCAGACTGGGGGAACTGGAAGAGAGGGATGGTTTGGAGGCAGAGTGTTGGAATTGTCCCTGCTGGAATTGTCCCTGCTGGAATTGTCCCTGTTGGGACTGTCCCTGTTGGGATTGTCCCTGCTGGAATTGTCCCTTCTCTCCTGGCTCCAGGTGAACTCAGGGCTCTCCGTGGTTCCCTCTGGGCAGTTCCTCACAGGATGCAAACAGAGCTTGTCCTGCTCTGCTGATATTAAAGACCAGGAGGTGCAAATCATACAAAACTTTCAGTTTTAGGAACTGTGACTTGTTTTCAGCGTTGTTGACTTCCCTTAGGGACAGAAATACACTTCCCAGTTCAGTTCTTTTCCAAATTACTGTGCATGGAAAAGATTGGGCCACTCTCTTATTACTGGGGAGCGAGAAGAAGAAATTCTTTGCATGCGATAGTGAAATTAAAAGTGCAAAAAGTTTTATTTCTTTCGATTTCTAACATTAAGTTAGTTTTATAGTATCTTACATTCCTGCTCTTGTTGTTTTGTTTTGTTTTGGTTTTATTTTTTTTTAATTAGCCTGGCACAGTATGATGGTGCAGTTCTAGCTGTAGGTTTAAAAAAAAAAAAAAAACAAAAAAAAAATAGTAACCCACTATTAACCAGAAGAGAAAGATGATACTGTGGCAGATCAGTAGCAAATAAGTGACTTAATCAATGCTTTACTGTAGTTAAATAGCTATGGCCTTACTACTTTGTCAAGATCAGCTTCATTGTCTTGAAACTGTCGGCGATTTTTACTGTTCCCAGGTGAGGTTACCTGGGCTGAGTTATCTGGTATGTACAGATGATATTTTAAATTTGTAAAATGCACCATTGTATTACAGACGATGCAACAGAAATGCACTTCGGGGGGAAATGGCTTCTGATGAGTTTTTTTGTAAATCCTTGATTACTACAGATATGCAATAGAGTTTTTGTTTCTAATTTTGATATTTCCTTCTGAAACGTAAGATTGTTGCCATTAATCTGAATGATTTATCATGCTCTTCTTTGCGTGTATATATTCCATATAGTCTGAGCTTCCTTTAGGATGGTACATAATTTTGGGTTGTTGTAGTATTTTAGTTGGCTCTTCTCTTCAGTGCCTTTAGCGTAGGCACTTCAAGAGTTCATTGAGTCTGTTTTTAATGTACAGTTGGGAGGACTTGAAATGGAGTTAAAGCAACTTATTTCTGAAAAAAAAAAAATCCATCTGCAAACTAACCTGTAACAACTTTAAAATTTTATATTTAAGAACCAGATGTTTATTTTTATGGAACTTCAGTTATGGATACAGTTTCCAAAAAAAAAATGCAACTTCAAATGTAAACAGACTGTGCATAAATGGGTTTTGTTCTAATTTTTATAGAATACAAAATATTCAGATAATATATTGAGCTCGAGTTACTACAGACATCTTGTTCCTCCCGGATGAATCCAGCTTCCCCTTGGCATTGACGATCTCTCTTCAAAGTGGTAGGAAAGGAGAAAAAAGCRACTTATCTGGCTTTTAGACTGTCTGTTCTGGTTTATTCCTGTTGTCAAAATGTCCAAAACAAAATTTGTGTGAAGTAGGTTCATGCTTTAAATGTTCAAATGATAATACATGTATTTGTATTTGTTTTTGACATTGCCAAGGTGCTATGGGAAATTGAAATAACAGTTAGAAAAATAAAGCTGA